TTAAATTGCATACAAGTAGGAGAGCAGTTGTAAGAAGGTGTGTCATTGTTTCTTGTCCCTGTTTATAGCTTCCAGTTGTTGCCAGGTCTGATACTCTTCTTTGTGACTTCTGAACACTGCTTTGATTTTAAAGGGAAGCTATCAATAGAAACAACCCAAAAAGTTTGCATGCTGTTCCTAAGACATCTTACTGGCAGTTAGATATACTAAGTAGGGCATTTGAAAATGCCCAGCATTGGTCTTTTTTTTTTTTTTTAAATAGTGTTTGAATTTCAAAGAACAAAACAAATACTTGAGTATTTCTAAAAGCCCCCTTCCTGATCTTTCAACTGCAGTTCTTCATGCCCATGCTACCCTGTATTTAGGTTTACTCTTTGTATACCAATTTTGCCTACCACTACTTTTTGGGCAGTAAAAGTAGACTCATCCAGGTTTTCTCATGTTTATTCATCATGGCATATGCAGTGTTACTTGGGTTAACAAGTTAGAAGAAAAAATTAGATTTTAATTGTTTGTTTTCTGTCATATCTTAAGAAAATTATAAAAACAACCTCCTCAACATGCGCTGTTGTAAGTTCCCTTCCCCTGTGTTATTTTTGGACCTGGAGTATTTTCAAAACAGCCTTTTAAAAAAACAATAGTATTTTAAAAACCTCTTACTGGAATGCATTTGATTTGAGTTATTCAAAGCAAATGCAGAGGACTAACAGATCTATGAAAATGATGTGTAATGGGAAAGCAGGGTTGTTTGCTTAACTCCACAGGATGTTCTGTTCTGCGTGCACACATGGCACTTCCTAGGAACCCTATGAGGACTATGTGCACCTACTAGCAGAATTTAGCTCCCCAATATCCAGAAATGCGCTTGGACACAGTGCAACGTCACAACCTGCTGGTTGCAAATTTCTGGTAGGAGCTAGACCTTTGGCCAGGAGTGTTGAAATGAACAGGCCTGATGATCACCTCCGTGAGGTCCCTGCTTGAAGGATTATGCATCCCCTTCTGGATAAGAACAGCTGTAATAGCTCCTGTGCCAGCAGTTCAGCGTGGGCTCAGCAGTACAGGATGGGCTCCATTTGTGCAGGAAGGCTTGTAAATACATATGCCAAAGTCTCGGTTGCCATAAATGTAGTTTAGCTCCCCTGATTTCAGAAAAGTAATGCCAGATAACATCAGCTGATAATCCAATCCACAGAGTTTTATATATTTATATATGAATTTCCTATTGGTTTAAAGGACAAATTAACTACTGGTTTGTTGAGATAAATCTCACTTACTAAAGGTATCAGATGGAGTTTTTTAGTACTTCTTTCCCCTCTCTGAGGATCATATCATGGGAACAGCTTTTAGGTGCTTAGGAATTTTTCTTCTCCTGTTATCTGTTCCCACATGTGCAGACACAGTCCTTCAGTTATCACAATGCACGCAATTGCTGTAGGGAGGATGATGATTTCAAGTAAGATAGTATGAAGGAGGATCAGATGAATTCTTGAAGCAGCACGGAGTCTAACCTCTTGTGATTGTGTATCTGTTACTTCAAAAACAAAGGCAAGGCTCCAATCCCTTTACTACATATAGATTATAAACAGAATTGGTTTGAAAATGCAATTTTCTTAAAATAATCACTGAATCACGAGCAAATAACTCTTCCACCAATTAGCAAAAATGATGGATCTAAGTTCAGTCCAAAGGGTCTGAAACATAGTAGTTCTAGTTAAAATCCCTTCTGGACAGTTATAAATTCCAACAGCCATGTGAGGGAGGATGAGAGGAGCAAGGGATGATAAGACCTATGTAAAATCAGTTTTGTTGCTGTTACTAATGAAATCTCAAAGGAAAGAGGCTTAAGAACCAGTGAGCACATGAATACAAGCAATAAAAAAATAATAATTTTAACTTCATTGGTGCTTTTATAATGCAGGCAGTGAAACAGCATCTTGTGTATACTCACAGAGTCTGGAGATTTTTATTTAGCACGTGGGAAGAAACAAAAGGGTGAAAAACTACTATATCCTGAGCAGTGCGCTTGATGCTTACCCACTGTAGAAAACTATCTGTATAAAACAGTCTGAAAAGCATTTACTGCCAATCAGCATTTCGAACCTCTGTATAAATGCCTGTTAGACTAAAGACAGTCATCTGAAGCTCTGACTAGTGCTCAGTCTGGATGAGACTTCACCTCAGACATCCTGAAGAACCCATCTTTGGTTATTCTTACATTGATCTAAGCTTCTTAAATTGATATATACAGTGACAACAAGGTGATTAGGATTAAAAACACAAAACAGCTATCCTCTGGTCACTCAAGTCCTATATAAAATCAGCCTCTTTTTTTCTGAGATACTTCCTGGTTCGTGATGGCAACACCAACCGCGTGAAGATAGTTATGTTAATTGATGTATGATCTCATTAGTCTTCAGTGGTGTTATGATCTGATTCAATCTTTTAGTGAGTTATAGGCTTTTGTGGTCCGGGTATTGATGAAATCCGCCTTCTTAAAGTCAGCCTTTGGAATGAAAGAAACAGAATAATTCGTTATCTTCAGTGCTGATTCTGCAACGGAAGGGTGGGTTCAGCTGCCTAAAAGCTATGGAGCCATGGCAGGAGTTTAGGCAGAGCCCTCTACACTCAGCAGAGACAGAACAGGCATCTCCCAGGAGTGACTCCGTTCAGTCTAAAATAGGCGAGGTGAATCATTGGAGTTGCTCAACTCTCTCCACTGACTATACGTTCTTCTAGCTCAGCTCTACAGACTCCTTTAGGTGACTAACGTCAGCTGAGATTAACCCTATTTGAACAAAGAGTTCAGGGCCATGACAAAATGACTCAGGATTTTATGAATTTCATTTGATCAAGCTATTCCTGTTGCGTATTAGACTGACTTTTAAAAAATGTCCAGGCATTAGGTAGCCTGCAGTTTTCAGTGCTGTACCTGATACCTCTAGGGGGACTGATTTGCACAGGAACAGCAAGTGATCAACATGTTTTGAAACTCAGATCTGACAAAAGTGCCTTATAGGCATACCCAAAGTACCAGTGAACTTGAGAAAAATCATGCCATCAGGGATATTGCTGCACAGTAAAGTCAGGAATGTAGTTGCAAAAAACCAGACACAACAAAATCCAGTGAAGAGTTTATACAGATACAGCACCCTTATTCTTGAATGCAGATTTCTAGTTTGTGGGGCAGCGTGCTGCTGAGCATGATGGAAGACTGCTAAAGGATACTACACTAAATAACTTTCTAAAGCAAATTTCAACAAAAAATCTACAAGAAGAAACAAGCTGACTAATAAATGCTAAAGGCTTGAGAAAATGGAATAGTTTTAGGTTATAAGGAATTTTAGGTGATAAATTCTGAACAGCAAGAAAACAAGGAATGAAAACAGTTTGAAATGCAGGTTGAAGGTAGGTAGGTTGAAGTCAACCCAGCTATGTGTTGAAAAAGCAGTCACAGAGCTTCAAAAGGAAAGAAACAAATTGGTTTGTTGGCTGATTCACACTGGACATTTTTTGTTTGATTTTGACTGCGGCAGTAAACATTTGCAAACACCTTTCCCAGGCCCTACCTTTTTGTCTGAATATACCTAACACCTGGGCTCGCAGACCATACAAACAAGAAGGAGAACAAAACTGCTCTGGTTTTAATGCAGGAAGCTGTCTCGCCCTGCCTGTGCTTTTGCCGGCACCTTGTGCCCTCCAGGTCAGGCTGGTTCAGTCACTGGTGGACAGTGCAGAAGAATTAAGGGCCCCAGAGAAAAACGAGAGGGTTCTAGGTCCGAAAGGACAAATTACGTCTCTTTGCTCTAACCCAGATCTTACCTTTTTGTAAGCACTGTGGAGATCGGTATGTGACCACAAGGCGTAGAGGAGGACTGAAGCAGCCCTACTAGCTTTGCTGAATGTATTACTGCAAATTTGTGAAAAGAATGATAAAACATGTTTAAGTTCCCACTTCGTAATCAGAGTGCATGTGCAGACTTCAGCAAACGTAACCTCGTAGCACTTTTTCTGTCTCTCTCTCTCCTGCTAAATGCTGTTTTACTGCTCTTTAGGTATTCTAGCACATTTCTTGCTGTCCTGACTACTGAAACAAATGCAACATACCTCCCTGCTTCGCTCATGCTTCAAAATTAGAGAGAAATTAAGTACTCTACAGCCTTCATCTTAGAGCAGCAATCACACTGTTCATATTCAGTTGAGGAAAATACATAACAAGCATTCAAAAGGATCTTTCCAGCGGGTAAAATCTCTGGTTAGTTAGACAGGATTTAAACTATTCAGGGCCTCATGAGGTCTCCTTTACTGAGATGAATTTCCTCATTCATTTTGTGAAAAGAGAGGAAGGCAAACAGAATAATTATTCATATTCACAAAGCATTAACTATTCTCTTTTTGAGTAAACATTGGTTGCATGTGATTACATGTTAAATAATGATTAAAGGAAATTCAACTTCTATTATCTAAAGTGTCTCTTAATAAATAATTTTAAAGTACAGTTCTATCAGCTCTATAAAACGTATCTCTGCACTTTTCTGCTAGAGATTATCAACGCTGTGTTACAAAGAACAGGAAATATAGAAACTTTTGGGGGACAAATAAGATCTGATGGTCAGCCACTATATATATATATATATTAGAATATAGATTGTGCCGTCATCTTCTGAGGAACTATTTAAAATGCTAGAACATGGCAAATTTAGCTGTGGATGGAACAATTGTTATAAGAGATTTTTCTGTATTTCCCCATACGTGCAATTCTATTCACATCACAGTCACTTGTTAAAGCTGTCCTGTGCCTTAAAATGCAGTGTTTTCCCCACATAGGTGGCAAAGGTTGCAGTTTCTTTTTTTCCCAGGGAAGGGAGGAGGGGGCGGGAAGGCTTCTCAACCATCTTACCTGTCATTCATGCTGATGGTAATAATCTTTGGTATGCCACCAGCACTCAGGAGAAGCCGTGTGTTGTGGGAACTGCTCTGTGTCAAATTGAACAAGGTGTAGCAGACAGACGCTGTGGTTTCACAGACAATATCAGACTCTGGGACAGACTCGGGAAGTATCAAGACCAAATCAGGCAAAACTTCTCTAGCTACAAGTTGGAAGAGAGACAAGCAACTCCATTACTCATAGGTGCAGATTTATCCAGGGGTCCTACAAGACCTTACTCCTCCCATTATCACCTATCAGGGTGCTGTGAGCTCCCACAACTGAGTCGTGGGTTCATTACATCCCCACAATTGAGGTTAAGCTGCGTCCACGCTAAATCGGACAGTATGTATTTTGCCTCTTATACGCCATCCATTAATACCTAGGGTAGTGTAGTAAGGTCCCTAGGCATGTGCTAGCAGCAGGCTGCCACTTCCCAAGGAACCCCATGCATCCTATATGTCTTTCTTTTAAGATAAATGTCCTTTTCTGAAGCCTGTCCCTACTCAAGAAACACCGCATCCCTTTGACCCCACTGGATGCGACCTTACCAGCCAACCAAACAGCAAACAACGGCTCTCGACAGCAGCAGGGTCTCACTGTACACTGTGAGGTCTGTGCCGTGCAGACCAGAGCTGATGGAGAAAACTAAAGCCGTAGGTCGTAGCCAGCTCCTCCCACTGTAAGAAGGAGACCTGGGCAATAGTTTGGGGCGTTCTGGGCCTTTCTCCCCTCCATAACCAGTGTTTCATGTGGACGGAGCGCTTTGCTCTCCGTGAGTGGTGTTCATTCCTCCGGATGGGTGTGTGACAAGGTTCATGTGTACTGAGATTAAATGGCACGCAACTTAGAAAAGGACCTTTAAAACTGGATGAACCACCTGCTATGCTAAGTATCAGTCAAAGAATTATGTCAGACATGATAGCCCGTTTTTTTTCTTCCATCGGTAAATTAAGGCAGGCAATTTTTAGAAAGTGTACATTTGGCAGTGTCTTGAAAACTTCTGTTCAGAACAAATGTTATTTTTTCAAGTAAAATTGGACATTTTCTGATATTTTTCAATCATTTAACTTTTAGAGATGTTTTAAATTAATCTCAATTTCATATCAAGGTTCATTTTGCTTGATAAATATAGACACTTTATCTAGGAAACAGTATGCCCTTCCAAGTGTTTTCCTTTGGCCAAAATGAATTGGAAAATTTGACCTGAATTCAGACATGCTTTTAGTCAACCAAAAAGAACACCTTTTCGTGCAGAAAAGGACCACCTGAAATTCCCCCTGTTCCTCCTACCATGGGTAAAGCAAGAAAATGGCTGTGAAGGTGCAAGATGAAGCACCTTTCTGCAGAGCTTCATGCTATTCTGTCTTTCCCACATTCTTTCATAAATTATTTTCCCGATGAAATCCCGATTTCTTCTTCTCAGGTAAATTCCTACTCTTTCTGGGGGATTCACCACTTGTAATTTTTAACAACATACAGATTATCCCTTTGAAATCAGCCCAACAACATATTGTAATATTTTCATTAATAGGGAAAGTTCTCTAAGGATTAAACAGTGCCCAGGAGACCGTTCTGCAGAATTCTGGGGGTTAATCTGCCGGTGAACCAGCTGTATACCTGTAATTTCCCCCTCCCCCTCTGGTGGGAACACAGAAAAGGACAACAAATGATGTGAATTTAATTTATCCTAGCAGCAGGAAAAAATTTGAAATATACATTAAATTGAAATAAAAATACTCAGAACAGAAATGGCTTCTGATGTGAAAATAATTATAACATTTAAAAAGTTTGAACTATTTTCTCTATAGCGTCTTCTAGCTTCCACTCTCGAAAAACTTATGCAGCAACTTATGCTTATGCGAGCTGCAACCTTCTAAAGCTTTGTGCCTAAAATTAGAAAATATTGGTTTTGCCAGAAGAATTGGAGATGGTCTATAATTTCCCCCAAAGGATTACAAAGCTGTGGCAGCACAGAACTCAGCACTCGCCTTCCTTTACCCTATTTTAAGCAGAAGAAAAACTCCCTCTCCAAATCTGTGTAGATTTTACTTCCATTATGTGTTTTCTGAAAGTAACATCAACGGAAGTATCTGATGGGGAATACACCATTTAGAGAAAACTTGAGGTTGGAGTCTTTCTTAGGCAAAATTCTTTATTTTCAACCCTATATAATGACTGTAATTATCTGACCTAAAACTCCACCTTTTTTTTTCCACTTTTTTTATTTAAAGAAGTAAAGCTTAACTTAAAGACAACAGAGAAAGACAGCCCAAGAGACAACGTTAGTCTTTGCTCACCTATGACACTTTGCAGAGAGGTGTTGCGAGACAAGTTCCTGAGCAGTGAGACTGCTGTCTTCTTTACTGTTGGGTGGCTTACATGCAGCATAGTTCGAATACTTGGAAGGCCATTTGCCTTCTGAACAACAGTCTGGGCTACCGAAAATGGCATCTGTTGTAAGGCAACAGTGTGTCATTACCATGAATGTACAGCCTTATGAACAACCGCAGCAGCTTCTCTACATCAGTTTAAACACATTTAAAATAGTTTAGATCCAGAGCTACATATAAGCTGCAACAGAAGAGGAAGGTGATATAAAAGAAGTTTCAACCCCGTTTTCTCCCACGTGCTCTTTGGCCAGTTCCTCAGCCAAAACGTGACAGAGGTCAGTAGTTTCTTCACCATGAAAGTGATCTGTGGTTGTGTCAGAGCCTTCCTCTCCCCATGGGACTGATTATGTTCCACAAAACCACTTTTTAAAATGCTTTTAAGACCTACTTATCCCTCATTGTGCAATGAATAGGCAAAATTCCACACGTGGAGATGTACAGAGTGAGAAGCAGTCCCCATATTTGCTAAGCAAGAAATAGCTGTGCTGCCAGTTGTGATTTTCCCTTCGATGTTCTCTGATTTCCTTGATCATGTCTGTGAGACAGTGACTTGCCAGTCGTTACCTGATCTCAGTGCTGTGGGTGTGTTGCACTCCAGCCCTAAACTCCATGCATTCGTATTAAGAACTAAATGACAAGAAAAAGAAAAAAGCTGACTTACCGGTCCAGTGCCAGCTGTGAGGTTCTGAAGAGCTCCCAGGGATGCTTCCTGGGTATAGTTTCTGGTACTCTTTGCTATTAAGGAGAGATATATCCTAATCAGTGTGGAATGCCAGAGCGATTCAACACCTCTGGGATTGCTCTTTTCCTCAGGTAGTGGGGTGTCCTGCTGCTTCTAAACATGTAAACAGATCAAGCCTTTAGAAACAGTGACCTTATATGACTTAATGCATCACAAGCTAAACTAGCCATTTTGTAACTCTCTATGACCAGATTATTTGCATATTATCAAGTTGTGAACTCAAATGACAATGTGTAGAGTTTCAATGTTTAATTATACCATCCACTCCATCCAAAAAGAAGAGGTAGCATGGTGGAAGCTACTTCTTGTGTCTCAGCAACTGACACTAGGGGCTGAAGCCAAGAAGCAGTGGAAATGGCCATCTAGAGTTGTACTGTGGATGGAATGGGAGAAGGCAGAATACACTCCAGTAAAACTAATAGATGGGGAAGGGTCATCAATCCTTTTCTTTCGCTTTTCCCCTCCCCTGACACCTGTTTTCTCTCCAACAATTCCCAGTTGCCAGAGTATTTGTGATCTGTACCGCATAGCAACAAAAGAAGAAGTCTAGACATTGCCCAAAAGCCAGAAATTCACGGAAGTGGCAAGTCACCTTGTGCTGGTTTCACTGGTGAAACCATCACAATGCCCACTCGTTGGCAGGGCGCTTGCACAATTGCCATACATGGTACAGATACCACTTGGATCCACCAGAGGGTATAAAACTGAGTGGCAGTATTCCTCAGCTAATAAAACAGTGAACTGCTAAGTCATTTTCACCATTAGCAGCTGAACAAGATAATGGGTGTTGGGAAATGCTATCAATCAATCTGCATTTTTGGGGCAAGTAGGTGTCACACTACCAGAAACATCAATAATAGATTGTTAAGCAGATTACAGCCTTATTCTCCAGAAGTTGCTACAACTGATTAACAAAATGAGATGTAACTAAACATGTGCTTTACCTCTTTTACTTTTCTGCTCCGTGTTCCAAAACAGCCCGGTGTTTTATCATGGCTAGAAACATTTCTTCTTTGCATATATATGCTCTGGGCATAGCTTTCAGGGAGCTCTATCTCTAGCTGGTAGGAAAGATTGTGAAGAATGCACACGCAGTTCTCTGTGGCCTAAAATAACAAAAGAATAGAAATCTTGAAAGCTTTGGCATGCGTTGAAGGGACATGTATAGACACGGGAAGAGCTTTCATTTCTGGAACTTCAACAACTAACTGCAGAGCTTCTAATGGCTTACAGAAGAGTAAGCCAGTGATCCACAAGACTGCATTTACACTGATAAATTAAACATGCCCCGGGATGTTCCTGAGCACGGAGGCCAACTGGCACACAGGGCTTGCACTTGGAGCGGGGTGCATACCTCTTGGAAATGGTCCTGGGACATTATAATTCCTGAATTGTGCCTGGGAATTGTTTGGGCGAGTGCTATTTGGCACAGACCAGAAGTGTGCCAAGGAATGGTTAAGAGCTTAAGAGTAAAGATGATCACGTACACACCTCACCGTAGTGCCAGCGAAAGGAAAGCTTTGTGTCTTTCCTAAGGAGGAAGCACTTTTCTGTGGTAGAATGTTTTTTTAAATTAGATGTGGCTTTCTGGGTATGGACAAGGTGAGGTCTACAACTTCTGAGCGATGAGTCTAGTGGCAAATAGCCTTATTACCAGTTCCTCCTTTTCTGAAAGTAAATAAGGAATGAGTGGTTTTAAGACAAAATGCAGCAGGGAGCTATTGGCACAGGTATAATGTGCTGGATTCTCCCTGAAGCTAATGGCACTGAATACAGGGAGATGGAGAAGCTGAACTAACTAATCCTAGAACAGAGCTATAAATGTGCAGTAATTACCACTACAGAGCACAAGTTATAGCAGGCACGCTAGAAGTGCCTCCCAGGCTACGGCTAACCTGCTCAGAAGTGACGGCTAGTCTTCTCACCCAACTTCACCCAGCTAAAAGGCAAGCCTGTAGTCTAAGCAATGTTCAGGTTCATCTGCAGTCAACGGTGGGAGGAAGAGAATGAGAAGAACTGACTTCTGGAGGTGTCCACGTCCTTGTAGTTACTGGCTTAGGCAGAATGCATAACTTCTAAAAAACTCAGGAAAATCAACCTCATTCTGAATCATGCAAGCTCCTTAATTACAGTGCCACCCAAAGAGATTTAGGTTCTTCATTTCCTAAGGGGTATATAGCACTAAATATACAGGAAAGTAACAAGATTAATTTTTTAAGCTTCTAGCTAGCTAGCTCCCTGAGACAACTAGAAAGGTAATATCTGACTCTTCAGGTGTTTCAGTATCTCTGAAAGCTGTGATGTTACATCACATTTTAAAAAAAAGACAGAAGTTTGTAGCTCTTTCTGGTGATTCTTCAGATGTTTTCCCAAAGCTAAGGTATGTTATTCTTTTAGATTGCAGGATAAAAAACCACTTCAGAAAGCTTCTTACTGGACTTTAATTTTTGGCGACAGTTCTAAAAGCCCTGGAAATAAGTATAAGTTTGGCAGTTACATCACAACTGTTTGTGAACATTGGTTTCTAAACAAAAAAATGTTCTCCTAGCAATTTCCCCCAGGAAAAGAGCTTTCATCTCAAAGAATACCTTGTCATTAGGCTCGTGGTCTGCAATAGCTCCTTGGATATAATACACAAGAGAATCAATCAAGCCGTCGCATTCTCTCATCTTTTTCCTTCCTTCTGGGCCGGCAGAGCTCATGTTTCTGTGCAGGAAGGAATATGTTGGTGAGAACAGATTTAGTCAAAGATACTTCCTTGTGCCCCTCTGACAAACTTTTCCAGCTAAATCTTAAAGATGCTGAAGTTAAGGTTGACTGCTTCCTTTCTGCAGCGCTGTAAACTAATCTGAGCCTCTGCTAAGTGGAACTTTCACTTCAGTGCACTCCCAGACAAAAACAAATACTGCAGAAAAACAAACCACTGTGTTTGGATGGATAAGGTAAGAAAGACCTGACTCAAATCTTCATCTCAAAGTTGAATTAATCCTTTTTTAAACAGTCGAACAAGCTGGACTTTTCTTCCATTATTCCATTTTTAGTTATATTTTTAATACCCAGGACAGTAGCTATGTCAAAATATCAGAGGAAAGATACCTGTAAAAATTTCCATGCACGCAAAGCTCCTTTAGCATTTACCTGCACTAAACCAGTTCTTGTTCCAAGATGCCCCACCAACAGACACATGTTTTGAGAGTTTTCGCAACATTTGTACGTTAACACGTAAAGGTAACCCAAGTCAGTTACAGGGCCAAATTCACATTGCAACTCATGTGCTTGTGGAAATGTTCTGAGGGGTGCGAGCGGGCAGGAGGGGACAGGAACGCAGCCCAGTGTAGGTAGGTCAGAGCAGCAGCCCGGCCTCAGCGCTGGGCGAGAGGCTGAGGGGGGACTGAACTGCGACGTGGCTGCCACCGCCATCGCTGCCAGACCAGCAGCGTGTGACAAGGAGGACGAAAAAATACACCGTGCTCAGCCGATTCCCAGCTTCCCAGAGAGGCTCCTGGCATCTAAGCAGAAAAAAAAAGCTGAAGCCCCTGGAAGCTGCTCAGTCGGAGAGGGCAATGCCAGGTGCCTTCTGCAGATGCCTTCTGCTGTTCTACCGCAGCGGCTCAGACACAGCTCCGCACGCTTTCTGCTCCCTCCAGACCCAAAGGAAGCCGCTGCTTGCCCAGCTTTCAAGTTAATGTTTTCTGCGCTTTGTGGTAACCCGAGTACAACTTGAAAATGAATTATGAAAGTGATTTAAAAACTCTTGAAAAGCCAAACACACGCTTGTGCTTGAATTTTGGCTCTAAATAAGCTACTGATTTCCGGGGAAGTAACAACACTTACAATTTGGGGGTATAATTATTTTTACAACTGAACAAACTCTGGATTATGGAATGCTGGAATTATAAACCTCGGCCTCATTATTTTGGACTCCTGCAGCTCTGCTGGCCAAAAGGCTGCACGTAGTATCACATTCCAGCTTCTTTGTTTGAAATAACATTAAATATAACCCAGCCTTAGCATCCATCACAAACAGAGAGGGACATGTTCCTTCAGATAGTTTCACAGTGTTTATTTTGCATGCTTACTTTACCCACTGGAAATTACAATGGTTTAAAATTTTATTAACAACACAGCCAGTAAGAAACAGCTTTAAACTTTCCTGTGGCTTATGACTGTAAAATGAATGTAGGGTTTTATATACTGTCAATGCAGTTCTTTTTTTTTTCCCCTGGGAAGTACATATTCAGATTAAATACTAATGCGCTGTAATTTTAGTTTTACTTTAGGTCATGCTGTTAACAATATCCCTATTTATGAGTTCACTTATTCTCTCATGGAATTATGCATCACAGAATCAATATTCAGATTCCTCAATACGGCCTACTATAGACATCACTTTGGAATTTAATTTTACCTATATATGTCACATTCAAGGCATGTCACCCTTTCATATGTTTATGGTTATACTGACAAAAATGTACATGCTACAGCCCTTCTAGCGCACAGCAAAAATAGTTTCTGAGGCACACAGACTAAAAATACTATGGAAAGATAAGCGTGGAATTTCCCTTGCCAAAGACACTTGAGCTGATACAGTATTTCGTTTTGTCACAGTACGTTATTCTAAAACTCCCTGAACTTCTGAGGACTACGATCACGCTGAATGACTGTGCGAGGAGGGGCCATCACTTGGCCTTGCTGGCCAGCGTGAAGGTGGTGGGGCACATAGCTTTACAGCTCAGGAGGCCAAGAAGACCCTGAGTCAGAGGCACTGTCCCGTCCTGCAAAGGAAATGAATTCCTGAACTCTGTTTCATGAAGAAGCTGATGCTGAGCTGTTCATCCAGTCAGAGATAGCAGTTTGTGTCTGTGGGCACATCTGTACATAGATGCCCACTCCATTCTTCACTTTGCCCTGTTTCCTTATCACCACGATGTGGAGTGGGAAGGGAAGAGCTTCTCCTCTCCCACTCACCCAATTACAGTTGTAACCACCTTACTCTGAATAGGGTCAGAGTTGGTTTGAAGGCAGAGAAGAGACTTTCAGGCAAAACTTCAGTTGACAGTTTGTTTGCTAATTGAAGCTTGAGAAATTCTAGATAATACAAATATTACTAGATTGGGAAAAAAAATGCTTCTGAGAACTGTCACAGAAATGTAAATGAAAAAAAAAAATTGAAACAATGGCAACATTTTGCTTAGAAAATTGCAAAACTGACTTAATCTTGGCTTCCCAAGATTTGAGGTTCCTCACAACTGGGACGCCTCCCTCTGAGGTCAGGAGTTGGACTTGCTTGTAGTGGTACTCCTGGAGGCCTCAAAATGCTCAGTGCTTGGGCAATTGCCAAGGTTGGGCTGGCCCAGCATTGTGGCTCATGGCAACCCCCATGGTAAGACTTCAGGGCTACCTAGAAATCTTCGACTCTGTTGTGCAAGTTTGTTTTTCTTGCATTTCATTAGAAGTGCACTGAGACAAATACATCCGTGGAAAAAGGATCAGCTGGAATCAAGATCAAGAGTCTTCTCACAGAAAAACTCTTTTGCTACCTAATTTCTGATATCTCTACCCTGAATTGTTGTTGAGTAGCTGGAAGAATGCAGCATGGGCACAGTGCAGCCTTAGGGAGATTGCTGCTTGTAGGGATGCTCTTCTTTGAATGACTCAGAACTTGTATTTTGGCATCATCTAACTATTAAAAATCTCTGACTTCTGGCATGCTTAAATATGGTAATCCTGGTGACATGCCCAAACTATACCACATGCTAATGTGGATGCATCGTGTCTATCTACGTGCCTCATTTGTCTCACCCCATATTTGCTGCTTCTGTTCTCTCTTGCACACACGCACGGTGTAGCTGTATCTGTAACTGAAATAGCCATTTGCCTGTGTTCCTGTGGCATTTGTGGAGGATCAGCTAATTCTCTGTTGGGAAATATTATTTTGACCCAGAGATGTAAGGTAAATAGAAATGTAACATAGTAAAATCAAGTGTGATTTTGAAAGAAACACAGTGATAATATATGTTCAGTTAGATTGCAAATGGCACCAAATGAAAGGGATGCTCCCTTTAAGCCAGCAGTGAGTCACACACTGGCAGATGATGTTGGAAAAGGTTTTTGCACTGCTGTGAATGATCCACACGACTGATAAGAAGAGGGCTTTTTCTCCTTGGGACTCATTCTGCTAAAACTGGTAATTTGAATTCAGCTCGACTACGTGATAACAAATTCCTGAAGTAGTTCAGGAAATGCTATTCCCTTCATGCCTTACACAGTTCAGAAATGCAACTGGGCAGGAAAGGTATCCAGGGATATACTAAGTAACCACGGGCGCCAGGCTGCAAGCTGCTTGCTGGAAACAACAAAATTCCTTTCAGGAATTGGGGGAGCAGATAAACTGGAGAGAAGGCAAAAGAAGATAAGAATGGATGGAAATAAACTTAAAGGAATGGCAATGCTATGCAAGAGGCCTTAGTTCAAAGACTTGTTATCATCAGTCATTTATTTTACGTTCTCTCTTAGAAGCTTCCACTATGAAACTGAGCTGCCATTATGCTTTTCAACACATGGTAAGAGCTTTGGCTTCGCTTCTCTCCAGAGCAAATGGAAGTAGATGTTTATGCAGTCCCCTGGTCTGAAGCGCAATGATACTGCTTCCTCCAACCACAGCTTTCCACTGTCCTTGTGGGCCATCATGTAATGCACAAAGAGCTTAAAAGGGAGCTGGGACAGACACAACATGAAAAACAATAATGAAAAAGGCAGCATCACTTCTATTTTACTGGCTGGGGAACCAGGAACAAAGAGGTTAGCTGACTTTTCTGGAGATAGTTGTCTAGGAAGTTTTGAAGAATTAGGGTACACAGGGCCACAGAATGCTCCAGTTAACAGAGCATTTAAAAAGGAAGACTAATGAAACACAGCAGTTGCAATTGCTAGCTCCAACACTTAAATAAAATGTTTTGCAAGAGGAAATGTGACCACTAAACATAAATTTTGGAAAGTTCAGCAGAACTTTTGGGAACGGGTATTTCAAGATAAGAATGAAACAAGATATCAGCTTTCAAGGCATAATACAGACAGCCTTCTCCTAAGCCTTCCTTTTAATCAGAGGAAGAGTCATGCCAGAAATTCAGTTATGTACATAAACAATGTTCAAAACCATATATTCTGCATGCTGTTGGCATCTTACCCTTTCAGACTCAGAGGAGGAGTATGGAGGAGGAGGCTAAGTATCTTGAAGATTTCTACCCATCTGTATAGGAACTGGAGACAGAACTATTACATGTAGGACTTTCAGGCCAAGAAAAAGTGGCTTTCCCTTTAAAATCCAACAAGACTTGCCCACAAAAGTCTGCAGTACTCCTCTAGATAGTTTAATACACCAGTTTTACTTGTTCAGCTTGTTGTTAGGCAACCAGTTGAAGTCTTTTGATTTGGCTTAGTCTGCCTGTTCAGGGCACAGTGGTTTTTATTGTATGTCAGGACTGAAAAATATCATTACTTATTCTAACTGCTAATGCAGGATCGCATGGTGTACACAGCTTCTTTTTATTACGCTAAGTTTTGTGACCTGTGATTTCTTTAACACTGTGTCAGAAGCAAAGCTTTAAGCCAAATTTCAGATGTAGAGAATGGAATTAACAAATCCTTCTAACGTCAGGCTTCCTTATCAGTGACTGCGCACACTGACACAGGCAGCCGAGACTTAGGACTCCACCACACTTCTGGCAATAACTGGTTGGCAGAACGGAGAGTCTTCTGGTTATTCACTCGTTCCAGTGTTAGTATCTGCAATATTGCCTGCTAGATGTGGATTCACTTCTCCTCCTGAAATTCTGTCCAAGAGGATGAAGAGAGCTTTAATTTATTAGTTGGAAACTGCGTGGCACAGTGCATGTGCCCGTGTCAGATGACAGTGTTACATTTGGACTGTGGGTGTCCCTTTCAGTCAATAGGTGTATGTAAATTTTTGAAAAAAAGTTTTGGCATTCTCCTGTAACTAAGTACTGTACTATGCATAACGTATTGCACTTCAAAGTACTATTTTTACCCTCTAATAGAAGCTGCAGGCTACAGACTTTATCAACACGCACAACAAACATATTAGTATTACAAAAGGGAAGACTAATTACAGATTTATATTCTGGCAAATATATCTACTCTTTAAACATCTTCATTAGTAACATCAATCCTTCAGTGCACAGGTTTTTTTACTTTGTGGCGTGCTCTTCTTTTAGTTTTCAGCATTTGTTTGTGCAGAGTTTTGGGGTTTTTTAATTAATATATAAGGAAGGAATACTTCTAGTGACCTTATTTGGGAGGTGCATTAATTTCCAATAAGGAGATGCAAACTGATTAATCTTAAAAATCTCTGTACAAATAGGGTAAAGCTCATTAAAAACTATTCTCTGCTTGAAAGTATGTTGGCCATCCTGCAGATCAACTTTACCTGTGGATTTTCAAGCCCTTCTTGTTCTAATTATAATTTTCAGTGTTCAAGCTCTTAAAAATGAGAAGGACTAGAATATGGACATCATATTTTTAAAATAAGTAATGTATCCTCGAGCATCTAGATATGAGTGATTTGAGAGACTTTTCATTAAGCCTGCAGAGCTAACTGTAGCTCTGGAGCAGCCCCACTCCCTGACTTTCTGTGCAGAGTAAGGTAGTTCAGAATCTACTTTTATTAGTTGTTTATAAACAACTTGGCTACTATTACGTCTCATTTGCCACATATCAGGTCGTATCAAGTTGCTGCAATAAGCTCAGAAAGAGTAATACCATGCTAAAACTGAGAACGATCCTGTGGCCCCCTTCGGCTGGCTCATAGGGAAGAGATGGTTCCAGAGTCCAAACGCCGGAGAGGAGCAGCAGGTCATGCCACCACAGAGTGGCACACCTAACAGCCGGACTGGTTTCTGTACAATTGTAGCTGGGGCTAATTAATACAAAAAAAGACAACCGGCTTCATTTCATAGACAACATCACTAGCGTTAGCTAGAGAGATTTTATTATGGGTAGTTAATGTTTCTCTGTATTTGCTTTCGAGCCACCAGAGTAAATAAAAGTTAATTATTACTTAGAGATGAAGTTAATTAGTAGTTAATGGGCTGACAAGAATTCCTGCAGAAAAAGGTGCTTTATTGTTGAGTGTTTTGTATAGCTAACAATTGGTTTGTCTTCTGAACCACAAGTCAGATGCAGAGCTGTTTACATAGTAAAAATTCATGCAATACCGATACAACTACTCTGCTATAGGACACGTTAGCAAAGCAGATATGTGTAAGGCAGCTTCCCAGACTCTAAGTTTCAAACTTAACGCCTTGTACTTTACTAAGAAGAGTTTACAAATCAGGCAATGCCTTTGCAGTCATACATTACTCATTAATTATTTCAAACTATGTCCTTTCATGCATTTTTGAATGTGCAAACAAAAGGCATGCATCTGATATTCATTTGTATTTACTTAATGTGCAATGACTTTGAACTTGCAAAGGGCCACTGTTTTATGGACTGTTACTTTTAAAGGTGTTTTTATTAAAGACGTGGTTTTTACACTTCAGTGGCTTAGGAGTGTGTTTACTGAGGCCTTTGCTGTTTCTCTGTAGTAACTGCTGCTGTGTTCATGTGGCTATTAGCTGATTGCAGTAGTAAATACACAGCTGTAAATCTATTCATCCCCGCCATGGCTGAAGCCTGGCCTCAATGTACTTGAACTTGTGCAAAAAGTTGGACAGGGCTTACTTTGCTTTAAAAAATGGCTTTTTCCTAATTTAGGTTAAGTAATTTTCTAATCAGTTTAGCTATAGATTATGATACACCAAAGTAAGCATCTTTGGCAGCAGTTGAAAACTGAACTCCAGCACAACTAAGAAATTGTGTTTCAAAGAAATAAACCTTACTGCTTTACCTGCTATAGTCTAGGACTCTTCATAGGGTTTTGCATTGTTACTTTTCAACAAATACAATCACAAATCTGCTCTGCCAGTCAGAAGTATAGACACATACTCAAGCTATGTATAAGAGTCTTAATTATTTTGAATGTGTAGAGTAGGCATATTTTTATGTGACTCCAGTGGATAGTCGTTTCTTAACCTTCATAAATTTTAGAAATTAAAATGAGGCAGGAATTGTTTATGAAAAAGGTATTAACAAAGTGGTTATAAATTATACTTATATGGGTCAAAGAACTTTACATCCTATGAAAATGTCTCTCTTGTATTTGTATCAGCAGATCACACAACTTTAGACCTAGGCTTTGAAGGTCACCATGCCATACATCCACCAAAGCACTGGTCTCCCCAAGGGGTGCACAAGACAGTCCACTGGGGTGTGGGAAGGAAATATTTTTATGTCATTAATAAATAAAATTTTAAAAAATAAAATATAGTTTATTTCATCTTTATATCACTCTCTTTAATTTCTGATTTTATGTATGTTTTATAATGTATATATTAGTACAGTAGTACATGTATATAATTTTAAAAATAATAAATATACATATACTGAAGGAGTGTCATCAAAAGTTTTTTACTGATAGTGGTGTATGATCAAAAAAGTTTGGAGACCACTGCACTGGAGTCTTAAAATAACTTTAAAAGTCTCACACAGGTTTAAAGCTTCTTTTAAGTTACTCTTAGCCTTTGTCCAGTGCTAATTGGTAATATCACTGCTACAACCATTTCAATAAAGCTTTGTTTTTACTACTATCATCATCAGTCAGGGGCTCATACTATACATCATACCGACAACTGTTATGCAGTGAAGGATCTCTTTGACGTCAATGCAACTATGCACTGCAACCAGGCCTCTGATTACTATCTTCTGTTATGGATATATTTAGTTTGTGAAGTACCCATCAAACATATAGGAGCCCTATAAAGAAAGCTGTTTTCATTGTATTGAGCAGTAATTCTTCTGACCTCATACACATGAGACATTTCAAAATATGATCTGTATGCAAACTCTTCTCTTGGGGCCATCAAAGTTCAAAGCAAAAAAGAAAATAAGTGTGCAAGCCTGGTTTATCATCACTATTGTTTTAGATACCTGTAGACTGAGTGCTCACCTCAAGCATCCTGTGGCATTGTAGAAGATATCAGGGTCAGGTAAAATACTTGACTTTGGGTAATCTCGATCTGGCCAGCCTGAGTAAGGGATGAGAACGGCTTCAGTCAGCGTCTGCAGGGCTTCTCTAATCAACAGGTGCTTCAGCTGGTCATTGGAGGACAAATTCCACAACAAACCTGCAATATCAAAAAAAAAAAAAAATCAGAGTGGCAAAAAGATTCCCCCACAGTTTGAAAGACCTAATCTCAAACTCCTTGAAGTTAATGAGTGAAGGAGCCTGCCTGGCATTTGATATCCTGAAGAGGAGCAGATGGGGTGATAAGAGTTCACCAGCCCTGATAGGAGGACATGGAAATGGGGCAGAAAAAGGGGCACAATTATCCATGTAATTAAATTCAGATGTCTATATCGTCAGTCTAACGCCCGACTGAGCACAGTTTTCCATGGCTCTGCATGTGCATTGCCCATCTGCAGCAATCATCTTCTCTGTTACCAGAGTAACACAAGCTGAACAGAGCTAACAACACGGATGCCAGTGATCATTCTCTGCGCTAACAGGGAGGAATTTGTCCCTTCTGGATGCCTGGCAGGACTAGTTGCACTTCCAAGTAAAGACCAATGAGCAGGAGAATTAACTTGCATGCAAAGGGGATGGATGGGAGGTACAGAGAGTGAGTTTACAGGTCTTTGGAAATCTGCTGGAAGACAGGAGATGCCCATTACCAAGTTTCTTTAACACTTAATAGCAAAATTCCTCATAGGAGGGAAAGCTGTTAAACACTGGTTGGCTGTTACTGTCCACAAATAATCAAGTAACACTACACACATTGTCTACTCACAATCTCCAAACACCAAACAAAATCTCAAATATAATCTTGCATAACTGATTAGCTTTGCTTATGTTCCATTCCAACAGATGCCAATTCCTTTTAAAGTACTCTTCCCCTGGAAAAAGACACGTATTTCTGCTTTTCACTACAAAGGCATTCATTGTTTCCCCAGCTTGCTGCTCGAAGTTTCACAGACCTCCTCCGCCAAACACTGGCAGAGTATTAGTGAATGTTCCTTTCATCAGTTCACAACAAAAAAAATGTTTCTTTTGTATCTCCTTACACTTCGAATTTAATTTCAGCTATTGTGAGTGATAGTAAAATCAAAACAAAAGTCAGCCAGAAGCAGCCCATTCCTTCTTCTGGGATCAGCTCTTCAACCTCTGAATTAGGGGATAAAAGGAAGAATGTACTTTCCTGAAGGGTAAGTAAGGCTTATAGGAAATCAGACGTGCAGCCCAAAGGGCATTGGTAAGGGAAGCAGGTGAAGACAGAATAGCACAAATGCAAGGGCACAAGGACAGAATAGCATGTTAAAAGGAACAAGTACATTATTCTGAATCACAGACAGATACCTAGAATAGAATTATCAGAAATTAATTTGAGATGTTGCTCACACTCTAAGTTTTCCAACAAACATTCTTTTACCTACAGACGGTGTCTCACTGGGCTCAGGAGGATTCTCTCATTGGCATTCTGGGTGTGGATGAATTTAGAAATGTTAGAAAATTTCTTTAGGAGTGGGCTCTTTCCTTGCAGCTATGCTATAATATATTCATAGGGGCATAGTTTTGCCTTAGATGGTTATTTGGGCTAATAGGTGGGGTCTCCTTTTAAATTTCTATTTCTTTTAATGACAGCTCTGTTTGTGCTATAATCTTCCCTGCAGGAAAAATTTTCTTTCATTTCTTAGATTTATGCTGCATGATAACAAGATCAAGAGGTTAGATACTCCCTGGAGGCTCATCTGGCTTACCTTCAAAAGCTAATCTGTTTTGGTTTTTTCATGCCACAGCCATTTTACTTTCTGTTCCTCCGTATGCTCTCCAAATACTACAAAATGCCATTCCTGTCTTGGCTCCTGCATTGTCTCTGAGTGACATCCTCTCCTACTATTCAGGAGTAACCTCATTCCTTTCCTGAGAGATTTGCAAGAAGTTTGTTTGTATGTCAAACAAAGGACAGAGCCTGTGTTTCCTTTACTTTACTTGTACCAATGATTTTATGAAGCTAACAAATTCAGTGAATGTGATCTTGAGGAGGTCTCATTCCCCCTAAGAAGAGGTCATATAAGCACAGAAATTGCACAGAAAAATCGGGCAGCTATTTTCTGTACAGAGGCATTAGGTAAACTGGTCCAAAGCAGCTTTCAAACCACTGTCGTAAGCACAAAGCCACTTTGGTGGGGGGACTGGTTTCGTGCTTTTTGTGTATTCTCCTGGGATGCACAGACTGTGAGGCAGGACACAGCACTTGCCATAATCAGCATTTATCTCTGTACACTTTCAGTCTCTTCATAGGACAGTTACAAGGCACACTGCATGACTATGGTCAGACTGTATTCCTCAGCCGAAGTCTTCAAGAAAATACAGGCCATCAAAATATTCTTTGAGAATATATGATATGGCTTAATATTATGCAAGCATTTGTCTGTATTAACACTGCTGGTACCAGTAAGCCAATGACCTTAAACACAAGCTTCTAGGGCTGAGACGTACTTATCTCATGTGCACAAGTATTAGATCATATTTCTGACAGGTTATGAAGGACTGTATGAATAAAACTGCAGTGTCTCAGAGTTTTAACTTCTTTCTCTCCAACAAATTCCTTATTTTTGTGTACTTTTGATGGGTGGAGTGCTTTGGCACCATGCTTCCTACACAGTAGTAGAAACAAAAAGCTTTCATCTGCTGAGTGTAGACATCCTTATTAATGAGTATCACATGCTTTCGATCCTTGGGCCAGGAGTCTTTCACCAGAGTTCAGCGTGGTATAATCAGGTACCAAGATTATTTTACTAATCTCTTATGGTGGGAGACGTTCAGCTAATTATCATATCACACATTTGGAAGTCTCTAATTTACAGTCAAAGTAGGCAAATAATAAGTATGACGTGGGAAGACAGATGGGTTTCTCATGCTGACCAGGTGGAAGGCCAAAGGTTCTGCATTAACCTTTTCCGGGAAGCGTTACAACACTGCAGTGCGATTGCATGCACTGCTATAATATTCCACTCATCCTGTAGGAAGCCAAGGGCAATGCAAGAGGAGAAACAAAACTTGTAGGTGAGCCATCAGTCAGACAGGGAAACTGGTGCTCAGTAAGGTTTAACCATTTTGGTAGAAAGGCACTCAGAGGCTTGCATTGCGCTAGGAAAAGCCTTATGCTGCAGCCTTTCTCGGGCTACACACTCATTCTGTACAGGACAGTAATTCCAGTGTTTCCTAGATATCCTTGTACATGTCAAGATCATCTGGAAGCACTGACCTTAGTAAGCGTACGCTTAACAGTGACTGCCTACCCCCTTATCTGAAGCCCACTCCTTGCCTGCCTTTGAAGCGAGGGCTGGGAAAGAAAGTGGCTAGAAGCAAAGTTAATATTCTCATAGAAATTCATTCAACCAGGCTGCCCTTTGCTCTGTAGGCTCCTTGCAGCTTGCTATGGAGCTGGAAGAATTGTTCAAGAGATGGCAAAAAGTATGCCCTAGAGCATTTGGTCTTGAAGCAAGCAAGAAATACTTCTCTCTTGATGTATTTTTAAAGCCATCCCCTGCAATGGATAGGCATGGAAGTATATGGCCTTGTTCAGCCTGGAGAAGAGAAGGCTGCGGGGAGACCTGATTGCGGCTTTTCAGTACTTAAAGGGGGTCTATAGGAAAGATGGGGAAAATATTTTTAGTAGGCAAAGCTGTGTCAGGACAAGGGGAAATGGCTTTAAACTAAAACAGGGTAGGTTTAGACTGGATATAAGGAAGAAATTCTTTACAATGAGGGTGGTGAAACCCTGGAACAGGTTGCCCAGAGAGGCAGTGGAGGCCCCATCCCTGGAAACATTCAAGACCAGGTTGGACGGGGCTCTGAGCAACCTGATCGAGTTAGCGGTGTCCCTGTTCACTGCAGGGGGGTTGGACTAGATGACCTCTAGGGGTCCCTTCCAAAACATTCTATGATTCTATGATTCTATGATTCTGTATCAGACTATTTTGCTTCATGCAAACTACAACATCCTGCCTGGTATTGTTTAAATATTTTGTTGGTGTCTTGTATGTTTTGTAAGTAAATATTCATGTTCAATGACAGTAGTAATTGCAGAAAGAAGGTGCCCCTTCATGCATTTTCACACTGCTGAAGGGGAACACAGTAATATTCACAATATCCGTATGACTTATCCTGCACAAACAGTCAAAGGTTTTGTCAGAAATTATGAAATTGCTAGCAAGAAAAAAGCATTAGATTTCTGGCCACTGTACCACCATTTTCACTACTTCCCTCACTGGTGTGTAATAGCACTGAGAGACAACATACTATGCAACAAGTTACTAAGTGACCCAACTCTGCATCTGATGAATGTGAAAGACTTTAAAACATTTTAATGTTGCAGAGCTGTAGAACTGAGCCAAAAGAGCCAACAATACAAAGCTTTGTTCTCCAGCTTAGGGAGCACAGTATTTCAAATACTTAAAAGAATGCAGAATTACAGAAGGTCTCAACATGCCTTTGCTTCAAGGCAGGGCTGCTTGACACCTTCTGTATCTTTTCAAGCACTGTTATTTTCATAGCTTGTGTTTCTCTTATCTTTAAAGATCACTTGAAATAAATCCCCATTCATTTATTCATAAGGTTTTCTTCCATTTATAAAATATAAGCCTGCTCTCCCTTTGCATGCTAACTAGAATGAATGTGGGTCACAAGCAGCTGACTTCCTAGAGACACACTATGGTCAAACAGGAGTGCAGGGATGAAGCAGTGAGCACTTCTTAACTGGCTGCTGCAAAGCCAACAGGGAAGTAACCACAGGTTTCCTTTGTAAGTAATTCCTTTGTCACATTTCCTCCCGCCATTCCTTCTGCTACACTGATGTACACCAGGAGGTGTAATATGGGATTTCTGATCCAAAGGGCTCTTCCTTCAAAACTACAACGGGCCCTGCTAATTTTTAACAGCACTTCCTCAAGGACACTGGAAATAAAAGGATGAGAACATAAGCCCTGCAAAGACTGCATCCAGAATGCAGGTCACTCCACTGATGGTGCCATATGATCTTTACAGCCAAATGGATGTCCTGCAGGAATTCTCTCCCCTGCACACAGAAAGCTGCTGCTGTGCCAGAGTTTTCTGCTTGTCACAGATCTGAGAAGACAGGCTTGGGTGTAAACAGATAGGAGTGAGAGAGCAGTAGGGTTTGCGGGGAGTAGGACAACAACTTTCTATCTACAGCATCTGACAGTTCTGGGGGACAGTCTTCAACAAGGAGCTCCCAGTAGTCACTGGCAGCATTCTGTCAAAAAGTGAGGGCTGAGCTCTTCCATAAGTACTGGGCATTAATTATGGTCCCAGGCACCTCTGGGACTGCTCCGATCACTGCTCACCAAAATGTTTTTACAGAACTTGCTCTTGGGAGCCTCACTCTCTTGTCTGGAATATCTAGGACTTTACAATTCTTGAAAACAGACTCATGTCTTTTCTGAAGAAGCTTTAGGAGGGGAAGTTGCAGTTCTGTCTTAAGGACTGGTCTTGACAATGGACCTTGGAATTTCACCCTAAGGGAAGGGGTTAGAATAGGTCACACTGTTCCTGTATTTAGTCACTAAACATTGGCCTAAGTGAACAAGCATGTACCTCACACGGAAAGCTTGTGCACTACTTAAAGCCCTTCATGCTTGACTGCACAGAGAACAGTACCTGCTATTTGCTTTTTAGTCTCCACGTCCCTGGTGTGTCGGAGTAGGTGGAGCAAGAGAGGGATCCCTTTCTGCTCCGACACTTCCAGTTTGTTGTCATTGTCCTCAAACACCAAGTTTCTCAGAGCACCACATGCTGCCCGCTGGATGTCCTCGTTCTGAACATCAAGAAGCTGTAGAAGTTTGGGGATACCACCAAGTGAGAAAACCTGTGAGGAAAACAAAACACAGAAGAGAACAGTTAGATACTGTAAATTGCAAACTCTTTCCTCCCCCCGCAGCAAACCTCTAAATAGTCATAGGGACTTTTTTCGTTCGCTCCTACTTGAAAGACTTGAAGCACAGATCATTAATCATTTGGACATGACTGTTAACTCCTGGGCTTTCATATGAGTCATAGTTAAAATCCACAACTAAGGGACATATCATATTTTAATAATTAATGTAAGAATGAAACTAAACCTCTTCCAGCTTTGCTGCAGATTTGTACTCTCTGACAAGGTATTTAATTGCTCTGTATTTTAGCTTCCACGTTGGTGAAATGGATATTTGAGATTTAACTATGGAATATTTATAAACAGCTTTGAGATTTCTGGATGTAAAATGTTTCTGGTGTGCCAAGTTGTTTTGGTTTTTTTTTCTCAGCAGGCAGCCTGATAGAAAGACATTATTTTTCTGTGTTAACTTCAGTGCATGTATTGAAAGTGTATTAAATAAGAATACATTATACTTAGTACTACTTACCTGTGGCATAATGAAAAAAAAAAAAAAAAGTAAACCAGTACACTTCAAAATGTAGACCATTAAACAAGCTAGTTAACTACTGAACCGCCCACATTTAACGAAGACTACTCTTCAGTGTCTAATTCTTTAAAAAATGAGGTTTTGGCCCCAAATGAATGAAGAATTAAGAAGATGTTATTTTACAGCAGCTGTATGGAAACAAATAGTTTCCAAGTTCTACATGTTGTGGCAAATGATGAATCCCGTATGAGCTGTGATGTGGTATAAGCAAGCTTTGGCTCATTTAGGAATGAGTTTACTATGGAAAATACCTTACATTCACATTCGATTGAGGACGTTTTCCTCCAGCATCTCAAAATGCCATATGGTTTTGTGGACAAACTCATCCTTGTGTAGAATCAACAGCATGTGAAAGACTAAGAAACCTGATACAACTGTTTTGAGTAGTCCAGAGTTTAACGATAAAAAGAATTCAGTATGACCGACAGGTGTTGGCAACATGAAGAAATGAAACGTAACAAAGCCTTTTGCCCTTCATGCCCTGGCAAACTACACTGACTGCTTGCTTCTCCTCTGATTCTGGTGTACAAAAGGCACAGTTTCTTGCTGCTGCGCTGCTGGCCTGATTCCTCCTGATTTAACAATCATCTAGATGCTAACAGAACGAAATACAGAAATCTATGTCTTGAGGTAAGTGGAGCATAGAACACGCTGAAGGCATACCAACCTCTTTCATTACAGTAGATAAGCCCTTTTGACACTGATACTGTAGCTGGTTGTTTTTTTAAAACATTTATGCTGACTTCCTGTCAGTAATTTTAAGTGATTTATAACTCCTGTAAAAGAAGTGGTGCTATTTCAACCTAATGTGCAGAGGAAAATTTACAAAAGCTATGTATTGGTCTGTCTAAATTTTCATCAGTGGACAAAATTCACCAAAATACTGTAAGACCGCAAGTTCACAAGAAAAAGAAAAGCCACTAGACCCACAGACTATCAGGTATCAGGGAATAAAGCATCAGGAGAGAAAGAAAAGGAAGGCAGGCTGAAAGGCTAAAAAGGGGAAACAAGGCAATGCCCATGTGAACAAGTCTGATGGGCACCAAACAGAAAAACCGAGCTCGCATATGTGGGATAGACAGGAAAATAGATGAATGCTTCAGGCTGACTGCTCCAATGTGAACTCTTTTACTCATCCACTTGTTTTTCAGGGAAGCTGCCTGAGAGAAGTTTTGATAATAAACCACCTTCAAACATTCAGTTATGAAGCTCTGTCCTCAGACTGAAGTTAAGGTTGCTAATTGCACTGGCAATTTTTTTCCAAAACAAACTTTGATCTACTGTGAAGCAAGTTAAAACTATCAAAGGACTGAGTGATGTTTGGCTGTCACTGAACTGGACTGCATATACTTGAATACGGAATTAAGGCTGAGATTACGAATGAGTAGTACAAAGCAAATTAAGAAACAAAGCAGGTAAGAAGTTTTTTTTTTTTAAATAACTGAAATAAACAACCACTTTACACATTAATGTACAAAACTGCTCAGCAAGAGAGCCATAACTGTGTTGGACAGTGAAATTTAAAGAAAAGGAAGAGGAGAATATTTTAAATATGCCCTTTCAAAAGATTTGTAAGAGACTTAACAAATTTGGTTAATCCAAACAATGTTTTAATGCATTTGTGCAGTCCCAGCAAGCCCTTACCAGTTTGGCTAATCCATTACACTGTATTAACACATTTGTGCAGTCCTAGAAAACCCAGAAGCTTGGATAAATTTGCACTCCACTCCAGAGTTTCCATTTCTGGGATATTTCTGTACCAATGGTGTAAGCATGCCAGTTAAAAATGAGAGACAGGAGCAAATATTGACAAAAAGTTCAGACTCTATGACTTACTCATAAAGGCTGGAAGAACTATGTTCATTTGGCCTGAAAAAGAGCAGACTGTGTGGGTATACACTTAGCAGCCTTAACATATATGAAAAAACATTATAAAAGGGACAGAAAACCAGACATTTTTTCTCCATATCCATGAAGACAGGATAGAAAGCAATCAACTTAGTTTGCAAAAGGGAGGTTTAAGTTATACTTTAGGAATAACTGGTGAAAGCAGTAAAGCTCTTTGCCTGCTGGAGCTTGTGGGATCCTAACTGATGTGATTTCTTAAAAGTTGGTCACAATCATCCGTAATTACAGCTGGTTTGGGTGTATTCTTGATGTCCCTTCTTACCCTACATTTCTGTGTTTCCTATCACAAAATCCTAAAGACCAAACTTCTGCTAGCATAGACCAGTACCATTCCACTGATTTAAAAGAACCTAAAAAACATCAGCATATATTAGGGGAAATATTCAACATCAGTATCCTACAAGGTTTCTTGAAATGCCTTTTTTTCATGTTGGCACACAGTGCCATACAGTATAGAAAGTTATTTGCTCTACCTGATTGTAACTCGCATAAAAATAATTACTTACTTTTCTTCTGGCATCCGCTTTCTGGAAGCACTCATGCTGTATGAAAGTCACTGCAGCCAGAATCCTAGGTGTGGACTGTGTATTTTCACCCTTCAGTATGCTCACTGCACGCTCAAGAGTCATCTCCCCCTCTGGGCTCCTGAAAAGTATAGGCAGAGGCAATATAGTGAAGCAAGACTGTAGAAAAATCACCATTTAGCCCGTGAAATTTCTTGTAATACCAAGATTTTAGTATTTTTCAGGTAACTTTAGCTTTTCTTAGAAAATTCCCTTTCCAGTAGCAGAAAATAGTATAAAAGCTTTAAAAGATACTAATATTCTGGGGGAAGAGAAAATCACAAATGGAAGTGTTGCAACAATGAGAGGCTGTGGGCAAAGCAAGTCATGCTTCAAATTATAAAACTAAAATGGAAGCATCAGTGGATGAAGGACTAAGATCCAAAGAAGGCTATAACCAAATTAGAGTGCTTTTTACAGAGCCTAAAGATACTTTGATGGTCTTCTCAGTAATGTGTTGATTGCTTTTTTATACTTGTTTTCATGCCTTTCTTCAGTCCCCAGACTACATATATGCAGGGCTCAGTACCTGCTTTCTTCAAGCTTACAGAAGTTGTTCTAGTTTGAAATAGATGGATAAAGCCTTTTTTTCAGGTGGGACAAAATAAAACCAGCACTCATTAAACTGACTGTGTAGATTGCCTGTGGTAGGATTAAAAACATGTATGGCCATTTTCCTCCCAACCTCCAGCCTGTTTGCTTGAATAATAATTGTGTTAGACAACCATATAAAAATTGGAACAACAGGTCACCAGACCGATTTTTTTCCCCAGTAAATGGAACATAAACAATTTTGTGCCATGGCACAATCAGGTGCATTAGCTCTGGGACAGGTGGTTATGTTCCTCAGCCTTTTTATTTACTTGCTGTTTTAAATACTCTTCATCCAGAGAAAAAAAAAAAAGAAAAAATGAAAAAAAAAAACAAACAAAAAGAAACAAAAAAGTGGACAAAACCATGAGAACTCTTTTTTTATTATTATTTTTTATTTTTTTATATTAAGCCAAATAATTTTGTAGAACCAAATTCCAGGCTGGTCAGACAGGCATGAGAGAGAAGTCTGTGAACCACAGCAAAACAAGTAGTCATTGGCAATAACTCCTTGCTTCAGAGCTACCAGAATCACAATGGTTTACATGACAATCATCTCAGTAAGTGCATCTAAAAGTAAAAATTCTGACAGCTCTGAAGCTGTCTCCATAATGGACTGGCAGAAGCCAAAGAGCCTGAAGTCCAGGCTTGCCCAGAATGGGCTGCAGGGAAGCAAGGTATACAAACCAGGCAGAAACCAGGCAGATTTCTCATAGGGAATCTTGCTATAAATATGTTGAAATAAAACTCTTTTACCCAAAATATATATGATGAATTCATGAGCTCTGAGACAAAAAAGGATTTTTCTGGAAATTTTCCTGCCAGCTACACGGTAAATCAACATCTGCTGCTTGCTTTTGCTAAGGCAAAAGACAATTAGAATGGCTGCAAGGACAGCAGAAGAATGAACAGCATTTTTGATGCACCTGTTGCAAGTGAAATTATACTCCTGTACCCTGAGGTTTCCATCTGCCTTTATATTTCCCTTTGGTATAAATCATGTTATTTCTTGTCTTCTCCCCTCCTCTGAGTCTTTTGAGTAACCACGCTGTATATGGGTGCTGAGGCATGCTTGTGCAAGACAAAGATGAAATGAAGTGGACAGTGTGTTGAGGATGTCAATGGAGAGGTTGAATCAGACAGAACTATGGGGTGTATCTCTAGTGCCCTGGGCTCTGGTCTGGCAAGGCTTACAGCTTCCAGATTTTCAGACTTTACTTCAGCTCAGATTTAAGACAAAGTAGCTACTAAGTTACTCTAAGTTGCAAGTTGGATCTACTTGTACAAAATCTGCTTAATGATCTTGAACAATGAGTAATAGAAAAAAGCCAGATCATATTTCTTCTTACTCTCTTCTAAGTGGAACAGAAAACCAGGCTTTTCAAACTTGGGTTTTAGTCTGGTTTCTTAAATCAACAAGGGTTTTGTGACCATGTTATATATGTGCACGTGTGAGCACGCCTGCTTGCCTTTTAGTCATTGCAATAACTTTGGAGCCCTTTGATGAAATTCAGTTGCCTTCTACAGAGCGGCAGACATCTCCGATGTATTAAATTGTGAGCCATTTCAGTGACTAACAGCAGAGAAGGACTTTATCTATGGCACTTTCCGAGGTCAAGATTGCTGCATGAGCTGATCCCTCATGGGATACCAGGGAATCTACGTGGGAACTCAGCCTCAGGATGCCAAGGATGTCCCAGAATAGTAAAGGTCCACCAGCAGTCACTGCCAGGCTGAGATAAATGCATGCACAGCCAGAGACCAAATTTATAAGTGCTAGGGGTGTAGATCTGCACTGAGACAGACAGCAGCCCACCACTCACCAGTTATCGCTTCATGGCTGATACTCCACCACGTTCAGTAGCCAAAATCTTTCCCTCCTGTGGTGCACTGCTGCAATATAACCTTTGACCCTCAATGGTATTTGTAAAGTTGGAGCACCCTAACTTTTGTCAAAACAGAATTCGATGCAATGATTCCATCCTACCCTCAAATCATTTACAGGCAAACTTAACAGCCGTGTGGCTGATTAGCATCTGTAATGACAACGAATGGACATTCAGGCAATGGGTGTCAAACAGAACAATGATTTGGCAAGCTCTCACTTCACCTTAATTGCCAGAATGTAACATTTTTGAGATACATGCACTGTGTTGTCTAGTCATTTTGTGAGAGCTCTCAGCACATTGGCACGTCATATTCTGTAAGCAGCTGTTTCTCAGACAGCTTCAGGTTGACTCTCTCTCCTTCCTAAGCCCTTGATATGAAGATGCTTTTAACTGCTTCGCTTTACCAGAAGGTACAGAGACAGCATCTCTATGATCTGATTTTTCTACTTTGATTTCATAGCATGAGCTAATTCTTCTACAGAAAGTTTGAAAATGCTTTTATGTACGTTTCAAATACTACACACAGATAGTCCACTACTTCTCTTTAACCATAAACAACTAATTTACATCCTCTTAATTAACCTTGGAAAGACCTAGATTGTGATTTGCATAAAAAAGTACAAATTTCTGGAAAAATCAAATTACTTGGAAAACAGGCTTGTCTTTTTCCTCCCCTTCTGTTGTTAAGGGAGCAACAAGTAAAGGGAGCAATATATCATGTAATGCAACCTTAAAGTCAAAGAGAATGGGAAATGACAACGAATGTGAAGGTCTCTGCTAACTTCTCAAACTGAGAAGTCTTGTCAGAAGAAACTCTTGTACTACTGGTGGAATGATGGACTTAAGTGAAATATCTCTGATTTGACAGAAGTGTATACCCCAAAGCAAAATGTTATCAATTATGTTTTAAATACTTAATTCTACATTAAACCATGCGGTAGCTAGATGTAGATGAACTAGAATGTACTACAACCAAAACAGGACTTCTGCATCAAGCCCTTCCAGTGGCAAGAATTACAAGGGGAGTTATTAAATGTGTAGTTTAGGTGTCTGAAAACGGTGATAATGCATGTGGATACCATATACACATTATTACACAAGCATGTGTAACAAATACTGACTTCAGTCAGCTAAAATGGCTATAGTTTCTTCTTCATCATTTAAGAATCTAGTGGTGCAAATCTCTGCAGAATTGTATCTTACACGATGCTTTCCACCAGCCTCTTCACTAATATAAGCTATTATATTTTACAGAGACTTTTCTAAACTTTGGGCAGAATAAAGAGCCCTCACTCTCCCCAAACCCTAGCTATGAAACTAAAGCAGAACCTAGGATATTTGAAAATCTAAACAAGATGTGTACAAGTAAATTAAATAGAAATACTGAGATAAATGAAATCTGTAAACACCTGCAAAAGGAACTTTAGAGGCTTTCACAGCACTTCCAATTGTTTCCCTCTGTAATTTCCAGCCAAAGCTGAACTTAAAAACTGGCACTGAAGGAATTATGCTGTCAAAAAGATTTCCATTACGTCACAAATCTTCCACCTGAGTTCAGCATGATCTCAAGCAAGCCACTTGCACAACGACTGAAGATAGATGTTTACATCTGCAGCTATAAAAAAACACTTTGGTTGATGTTTGTGCAGGCAGACAACCGGATTCCAGTGTCTGCGCCTGCAAAAGAAGAACCAGAACTACTCCTATACAAAATCAAATACCAAAATTGCTGGTTGTGGCTCATTAATGTTCTTAAAGTTAAGTAAATGATTAAGTCAATGGGATATATCCCTGTTTGTAAATTGTCTTACTGAAATACAAAGTCCTCCCAGGTACCTATTTTCAATATTACTAGTCCCAGTTCTTTAGTTGTTGTGAGCTCTCAGCTGGTTTTATGGACTTACTTGCTGTAAAGACAGAATACTTGAAGAGTAACATCATTAATACCAGATCTCTTAACTCCTGCATCACCCAGAGGTGAAAATTTTGATTCAGATCAGATGTGAGCACAAGACCGCATATGTTTGTAAATTGAGTCGTAACACACAACATGCAATTGAAGACAGAAAATACCTGATCTATACAAAGCAGTGTTATTAGATGATGCCTCATCTCACACAGTAGCAAATTTAGAAAAAAAAAGAAAGGTGGTCTTTGGAAAAATGAAATTAACAGCTACACAGTTATGGGAAAAGAGACATTTCTTAATAACACTGTTTTAAATTATACCATGATTAACTTACTTAAGAAACCTTGGGATCCTATTTGGGTAATGAAACAACAACAGAAACCACAGTACACAGCGCAAGTAACCATCTCCTGTTTACCAAGTGGTTTGTTCTATCCATTGAACCTGAAGAGCTCTGGAAACATTCATAATTATTCTAAAAATGAAAAAAATACTCACTCCTGAGGGGAATTTCAGAACCGATAAATTTTCTCTTTGGAAAATGGGACCAATTTTAGACATTCTGAAATCTTCGCTGGAAGGGAATTTCAGGGGGAAAAAACAGTAATTTTTTTTAAAAAAATGAATGCTTCTAAGATTTTAAAGAAATTTCCTGAAGTCTGAGGGCAGCTTTGGGAATTTCTGCCATGGAGCTATCAGGGCTTCAAATTAAGATAGCGTCCTCAGGGCATGTAGGATCTCATGGTAGTGAGAAGCTCTGGAGTCCTCAGATTCAGAGCAGTTTATACTTGTTCTAGGCATGGATGGTGCTACAGAGCTAAGAGAAAGGTCTGCCTGTGTTTTAACTGAAGTTTATCATAACTATAAAGTTTCCTTGAAACCATGAAGGATTTTTAACTAGAAATTGTCAATCTGCCAAAATCTGCTTCACTGGTAGATTTCTGACCTATTCTCCTGAGAACCAGTGCTGAAATCATCATTATGAGCACGAAATTTGCCAATCCATTACTGTGTATGGTGGCTTAGGTTGTAAATTACTCACTGACTGCTTCACGTCTCCTTATAAAATTGATTAACTCTTGGCAAAAGAGGGTCCCAAACCTGTGCAGGAGGTGTGGACCCCAAAGCATGTACATACACGTACATTTTTTCTCCCTTTCCTCTGTCACACTGGAATTGGACTTTTAAAAGCAAACCTACTTCCTGCATCCTCCACACTGACATTTCATACACTGTGTTGGCTGCTGAATTCTCAGTTTTCATTCTCTTTTTAAAGAAACAGATTCCTCTCAGCTGTGGCACCCCAGAACCAAAGCAGGTCCTGCACTGCGCTTACCCTAGCTGAGATCCATTGATGGTGACTTGTTCACTCTGCAGGAAACCATTTCTGCCCGCTGCTGCCATAGCAGCTGTCAATGGCATCCTCTTCCCATCTGTTTCTGCAGTGACGCTGGTTATTGAAGCTGGCTGGGAACCTTCCCTCCTGGTCTGTGTGGTTCTGAGAGTAGTTTGGTACCAGCTGGACCTTAAAGATTGCCTGTTTTGAGACCCCAAATGGGAAGCAATTGGTGATCTCACTTGTCCCATCGCACTGCCCAAGGTCAGGTAGTTCTCTTTCTCCAAAAGGTTGGTCATACTGCGACTGTTGCCTGCTTGATGATACAGAGGTACAGCGGGGCTGGAGTAGACACCATCAAGGACGGCATCATTAACAGCCCCCATGTGGGAGTGTCTCTTAAAGGAGCGTCCCCTGTTCACTGAATCATGAAGAGTGTAACCAACAATCTCAGACCGAGCATATCTCGGTGGGACAGTCCCGCCGGTTCTCCTGCTATCTCCATGCCTCATGGAGAATCCAGCTGAAATCCCTCCGTCATAGTGAAAATCATTGGACACATATGCCAATCTTTCAGGACCTCGTTGGGGTGAAACCTCTAGTCTCTTCAGAGGCTGTCTTTGAGCTCTCTCTTCCATCGTCTTGTAAGTAATCTTCGTCCCCCAGCCGTTTGTATAGGAGGATGGTGAGGCCACCTGTTCAAGGGTGCATAAAAGAACAGGAGTCACGGTAAGATCACAGCATTTAGGATTAATAGCAAAGAAACCAAACCAAAAAAGTAAAGATAAAAATTCTAAGGTCTGCTATCAGAATCAGAAAACAAAACGTGAACATCACCAACACTGTGTATTAAATGGAATTCTGCAACACTTCTCTGTATCTGCCTAATGAAGGCAGGAAGAAGTATGGTCTAAACATTAGGAGACAAAGTCTTCTGTCATTAACTCAAAATAGGTGCGTAAGTCAATTATGCCTGATAGCGAACAGTCTCCTTATTAATGGAGATTTTAGTTTCAGTTTGAAAATCCTTGGAGATTAACACCCACGTCCACCACTAAAATTAAATTCAAGGCTGTCCAATAGACAGAAGAAAATTAATCAGTCAGATATTAAAATATTATACTCAAGTGTCTGCATATTGCTATTAACCTTATTAATATAAGGTTTATTTAGCCCTCCTGTTCACTTTGTGGTAGGATCTAATAAAGAGACAGTCCCTTTCCTGTTTGTCTAACCTCTTAAAAATGAAGGAGATTACATAATATTCCAAGGAAACCAAAACGACCATTTCACCATCTCAATGGTTTCCCTAATTCTGCAGTTGTAATTTAAGATGATTTTTCTTTTCCTGTCCCTAATGGGCATGGACAGTAATGGCTCATCATCATGTTTTATAAGCTTCTCTTTTCTAAACTCAACAAACCCACTTCCGTCAACCTTTCTTTGTAGGATGTGCCTTCAAGATTCTTACTGTTTAGGTGCCATTTGGTCCAATTTTTCTACCTTTCTTTTATGCTCTAATTTGGACATCATATTCTATTCAAGACCTTCGAGAACTAAATCAACTTGGGAAACTACTTGGCCTTGAAATAAAGGAGTTGTGGCCCTATTTTTTTTTTAAATCAGTAAGCATAGTATCATCCAGCCATAAATCAAAGCCCTATATATGCTATTTCCATGTTGTATTCAAGTTTTGTAATAATAAAGATATTTTTTTAAGGTAAACTGAGAAGCTCACAGAAGTTCTTAACTGAAGGGACAGTGTTTAGCAGATAGTGGCCAGACTGAAATCCCTTAATTTCACTGTTGAGGAGTTACTGAGGGTGATAATCAATTCACAAAAGGAGTAAAGGTTACTGAATCTAGTCGGCTGAGGCAAGGATCATTGGATATATCTGTTTATTCTACAGAAGCTATGCTATGCAAGGATATCTTTATCTTTTGCTTGGAGATAAGGAGATTAATGCTTTTGTGAAATACTAGACCTTGTGGTTTTTTCTGGCTCTCACAGAGGACAAATAGTCTCTTTTTTTAAAAAAAAATCTGGTTTTCTTCCCCTACCCCCTGCCTGGAAAACTAGTATTTTCTTGTGGTTCCTATGTCACCTCCAGTTTTCCTCTTGTTGCTCTCTTCTAGAAAGAAGAGATTCACATCAAATATTATGGACTTGATGATAGGTGAGAACAGAGGACAGGAGAACAGAGAAGGAAATGTATTTAAGTACATTCTAACTCTACCCATATAGAGCCAGAGCTGCTTCATTAACTGGCCAGAAGCTGGGCTATTTCCTTTAACGAGAATAAGCCACTCTTGAGTAATCTAAAATTAAGAAAGAATTGGCCCCTATGTATACAGCTATGTATTAAATAAATATTTTTGTTCTCAAGCTGAATTGGTTTCAGTTTACTCATGTTGATCATGCAGCAGCATTGCTATTGAGCTATGTGCTGATTTCCAAGTCATATGGCTGCTCCCTCAAATAAGTTCATACCAGTTACGAGCTGTGTCACAAACCCTACAGAAAACCAATTATTCATCTTAGCATTCAGGCCATGAACCCAAGAAAAGTTTGTCTAAATAACAGTGAATTTATGATTAGACAGTTTAGAAACACCGTTGCATTGTAAGGACTGTACTGATGAAATCCTTGTAATGCTAACCCAGGTTACAACAGAATTATTTTAAATTATAAGGAACACTACCTGTCATCGTGAAACTAAAGCAATCTGTTTATCTGTGGTTTTGGATGCTTAATTCCCTAATGGGGGCCCCCACAGCCTCTGGCCGCTTTGAGCTACGATGTGCTGACTGACCTGCTGCCTGGTGGGACGGATAAAGATCTGACTTGTCACAGCCTTTGCCTCAGTGGAGTGTTGATGCGGTTTTTCTTTTCCTACCCTGATGCCAATTCTCACAAAAGCTATAGGATCGCAGAAAGCCCGTCTGTACGACTGAGTTGAATTTAACTACTGGGCTCAGAAGTCCCCAGAAGGGGAAAAAACATTAACAAATCTCAGTTATAAAACCCCTCTTTTCCAGAACTCAGGCTTTAAAAAGCAAATGAATGAGCAAGCAAACCTTGAAACATCATCTACATTCGTGGTAACAAAAGGGATAAACTATGCATGTGATACTTATTTCTATTCGTTGTCATCTTTTCCTCACCTGGTTTGACTTATAATATGAGAAGCCGTAGGGCGTTCTTGGTGCAAAATCATTTTCAGTAATGCCCATGTTATAGACATGCTCTGGAACACTGGATGCACGGTGCAAACTGCCTGTAACCAAAGACTAATATTAGTAAGATTTTAACAAAACATGATATTGTTATAAAGGATGATTTATAGTACTAGGGAAATGTCCCAGTCTGTACTGCCATTAATAGATACATGAGCTAAAAATCAGAAAGGTAAATGTCAGAAAGAGGTTTGCATTCAGTGTATATTTATATGCATGGTTTACATTAAAGGCTGACTACAACATGCACAGTACACAAGCAATTAAAACACGGCAGCTGTAGACTGTAGATGAGAAACACGGGTTGATGTGTATACCCCTGGCACTGTGCACCCTAGAGATGCAATTTCCACAATGTACCAGTGTAAATAAATAGCATACACTGAGTACAGACTGTTTATTTCATAGCTGTCTACCTCAACTGCTGATGTTTCTTCGCCCTTAGGTGCTAGTTTAATGATAATGTATTGGAGCAAGCAACACTTCACTAATCTCAGTGCTTCACCCAACGAGCACGAAGAGTCCACGAACAAATTTCATGGCTTATGCAGGCATGTGGCATATGATGCTGTAAAGTAGGGTTGTTTAATGACACTTCATATCTGCACCTGAAAGGCTTGCTAATCCTACAAATAATGTAGAAGACCCACAGTGTATCTGCTCTTACTCTTTTTTTCCGCAACCTAGCTTTGAAAATAGAACAGTGCATTGTCATTATTTCTTTCATTAAAACTGCATTCTTCTTTTAATTAAAAACAAACAAACAAACAACCCAAACCTTCAGGCTGTTTCACTGATACATGGTATTTTCAAAGAAAAAAGTGTTTCTGTTAACGATTTTTTTTAAAGTCACAGATACTGCTGAAACATTTGTTCATGAGGTTACTGGGTTACTATGAGAATCTGCATACAGGAATATAAATAACACAGATTGTAACACATATGCGTTTAAAGAGGTGAAACAGAAGTTGAAAGTCAGATATACATCAAATTGGTCATAAATGGGGCCAGTGTGTGCTGCCGAAGTTTAGGCTGAACAGGTAACAGTGGTCAATAAACAAGTTAGGCGGCCATGAATTTTCAAAATAGCAGGTACCACCTGAGATACTACAGAAAGGAAATGTAAAGAACCAATCATTAACTTGGTCAAACTGATTAAGTCTCTGCTTGCAAAAATAGTAGGAGTCATAAAACCATCAGAATAAGCAAAAAGGTGCCAAAAACATGAGAGCAAGTGCCTGCTGGCATTTTTGAAGCACACAGTGTATGTGTGCTAAAGAGCTGAGGCTGTCAGTTTCTGCATTTAGACTCTGGGCTTCATTAGGTACACATGGGAATCCCTAGGGACTTCAGTACACCTGTATCTTTGATCCTTAGGGTCCATAGTTAGCAAAGGACTCGACAAGAATGAAAATAAATAAGAGATTCATGTAACAAGAATAATTAATGAATGATTCCTCATAGGGAAGCTCACGAAGTATGGGTTGGATGAGTGGACAGTGAGGTGGATTCGGAACTGGCTGAATGACAGGGCCCAGAGAGTTCTGATCGGCGGGGCAGAGTCCAGTTGGAGGCCGGTAGCTAGTGGAGTTCCCCAGGGCTCGGTACTCGGCCCGGTCTTGTTCAACTTGTTCATCAATGACCTGGATGAGGGGATAGAGTGTACCATCAGCAAGTTCGCTGATGACACAAAACTGGGAGGAGTGGCTGATATGCCAGAAGGCTGTGCTGCCATTCAGCGGGACCTGGACAGGCTGGAGAGTTGGGCAAAGAGGAACTTGATGAAGTTCAACAAGAGCAAGTGTCGAGTGCTGCACCTGGGGAGGTCGAACCCCATGTACCAATACAGGCTGGGGGATGACCTGCTAGATAGCAGCTCTGCTGAGAGGGACCTGGGAGTCCTGGTGGACAATAAGCTGACCATGAGCCAGCAATGTGCCCTTGTTGCCAAGAAGGCCAATGGTATCCTGCGGTGTATTAAGAGGAGTGTGGACAGCAGGTCGAGGGAGGTTATCCTCCCCCTCTACTCTGCCCTGGTGAGACCCCACCTGGAGTACTGTGTCCAGTTCTGGGCTCCCCAGTTCAAGAAAGACGAGGAACTCCTAGAAAGAGTCCAGAGGAGAGCTACTAGGATGATAAAGGGACTGGAGCATCTCCCCTATGAGGAAAGGCTGAGAGAGTTGGGCTTGTTCAGCCTGAAGAAGAGAAGACTGAGAGGGGATCTCATCAACGTATACAAATATCTTAAGGGCAGAAGTCAAGAGGACGGAAGCAGTCTGTTTGCAGTGGTGTCCAGCGACAGGACTAGGGGCAATGGATGCAAACTGAAACATAAGAGGTTTCAGCTGAATATGAGGAAGAACTTCTTCACTCTGAGGGTGGCAGAGCACTGGAACAGGCTGCCCAGGGAAGTTGTGGAGTCTCCTTCTCTGGAGATATTCAAAGCCCGCCTGGATGAAGTCCTGTGTAGCATGCTCTAGGTGAGCCTGCTTTAGCAGGGGGGTTGGACTAGATGATCTCCTGAGGTCCCTTCCAACCCTTACGATTCTGTGATTCTGTGATTCTCACTAGCACATAGCTACCTGGATAAGTTCGAATATGTGTATAATATAATATACTATAATACAATACAATATAATAGCAGACTGCATTAATTTGAGGCCTAATCCAATCATACTTTGCAGTTATTTTGCTTATTTAATCATACTTTCCAATTCTTTCATTTTGGCCATGCGAGACAGATTTAAACATGTATTAGGTGATTTGTTAAGACACATTCACGGTAACTTTGCGTCATGAGAGTGGAATGATGCAGCTTGGTCAAACTCATGATTTGGATTGTAATAATTCCTTCGTGACATTACAAGGTTACCATAGCCCAAGGGTTACCCAAGTACATGAGAAAGCAGTAAGAGGAAACTGTTGTTTTGTATTCCAAAAAATGCCTGCCAATGTACGCTGACATCCAAAATCTACGCATTCGTATAAATCTCTCATTTGTGTGATATAATTCCCATATCAATGTTCTATTTCGGGTGCCCAGTAAGACTCCATCTTAGCCTACCACCTGTGTCTGCTTTTTAAAGTTTCACTTCATTCATTGCTGCATATTAAAGTACTTTCATATAATAAATCTTTAAATACAAATACATACACATTACTGTTTCTTTATACTTAGTAGGTTTTGTCCAGTTTACTTGGTGAGAAATTACTCTCAGTTATTCATCTACTTAGGGCATAAAGATCCTTTGAGCAAGTAATCTGTGCGTGTTTTAGGTAACTCTAACCTCCCTGTCTTTACTAAACAAATTTAAAAAAATGAGGGTAAATTAAAAATAACATGGCTGTCCATGAACTAGCTGAGGATCAACTACATTTCTAACAGTTTTCCCTTCGCAAAAGCAAAATACAGTCAATCAGAAATGAGAACACTCAGTTATCTTCAAGTAGTCCTCTCTTTTTAACCTTCAGCCTCCTGTGAAACTATGCTGTCAGTAAACATTTTTCTCTTTCAGAGATAAACACAGTATATGTTAGCTTGTGGAATTTCCCTTTGCATTTACGGTATCTCTCACTTGCTCTTACCACATCAGTAAATTATTTTGCCAGTATTTTACCTGTAGATTTATTAGGCAGATATTAAATGTATGTCTTTTTACTGTGTGCTGTTTACTCCTGACAAAAGCCAGTGCATTAAAGGAAAAAGTGGCAACTGAAATGCTGGGTCTTTCCATCAGTTATGATATGCAGCATAGGTGATCTGATCAAAACTTGCCTCTGCCAGCGAGGCTTTCTTCAGCTTATTTTCACCATACTACAAAAGCCTACATGTCCTTCCCACCTCTCAGATTGGGTCAATATTACATATATTCAGAAATCATTAGGCAGTCCTTAGTGCACTGGTTTAAAAAAAGAAAAAAAAAAAGCAAAAAAAAGCCATGACTGATTTTTTTTTTTTTTTTTAAATTACGTTATGGGTTCATTTACTGTGAGGATGAATAGTTTCTAACTGTGAGACTCTGTGTTTTAGGTCTCTCAGAACTTCTCTCTCCAGAAAACATGCACATGATTCAGTTGCTCATCCACAGGGGACAAAAGCTATTTGAGAGGCCATAGAATACCACACTTGATGTCCAGCACACAGTCAAGAAAAGAATGGGTTTCCTACAGGCTCTGCGTCATGTTGGTCAAGCCATGAGGATATTTTGGAAAAACTTGGGCATCTCAGACAGCAGCAGGCACCCATGTGTGGGCAACTGAGTGGAACTGTTCATCACCGTCCCCCCTCTCCCCTGTCAGTATGAACTAAAGCAGCTCAGGAACGTTTTGGATGTGGTCAGTGGTGGAAAAAAATTAAACCCCTTCACTGTTCTCCATGCCTAAAATAAAGGCTGTACAAGAATCACCTGATACCACAACAGTTATGACAAAATATTGAGACCTGAAAAAATAATTATGCTATCAGGAGGGAGGCTGTACAGATGACTGAGCAAAAATCCCCCCTGTCTTCACAGAGGCTCCTCAAGAGGCCCCCGTGTGCCCCTAGACATGACATCCAGGATGTCCAACATCTCCAAAGGCCTTGGAAGTTCCTCCCCAGCAATCGCTGCTTATGGCGGCAGGCAGATCAATCTCCTGCTTTCTTGGCTTTCAAAACCAACAACAACAGGAAGCGTTTCTAAGATACATGACATACGAAAAAGACAGTTATCCTCCATTAAGGAGTTAGGCGTGCCAAATTCCCCTTATATCATGTACAGTGTTAACTCTCCGTTGTGAGTCTTTTTCAACGCTTTTGTATTTGGATGGTTACCATGAAAGCCAAAGTTTGGCTTGAACACCCCCCCCTCCCCAGGCATCAATGTAGCTGTACCCCCAGACGTCAGTGTAGCTGTACACGGACGTCTATTAAGGACTGCAATATTTTCATGCATCCTGAGTGCCCACCTGCTGAGTATCCATTGCCCACTCTTACTCAGGGCAGGTGGGTGATTATATCCTCAATGGAGACTCCTAAGTGCTCCTGGACTGTCATC